AGTGCACGCTCCTGGATAATGATCAGTTGTAGTCATTAAGCAGGTCATAAAGACATCACTTTTGTGACAGTTTATAAAACTGCAATCTTAGAACACTGTAGCCAGAAAATGACCATTAGCAAATGATCAATTAGTGGAGACAATCATGGTAATGCAGAACTTAAAAGATTAGAAAAAATGCTGACTTGAAACATACTTGACCAACTACCAATTGGCTTCTATTATAATTATATTTTGTCAATCAATATTCATAGTAATCTGCTGTACACTCTTTGCCTCAAAGTGTTCTTCAAGTGATGCTGTAGAAGAACCACCTTTGGTTCCCTAAAGAGCAGTGTTGTAAAAAGATTTGCGGGTCAAAAACTTTTTAAGGAAGAATCTTTACGTAATGGAAAGGTTCTATATCAATCTAAGAAGGAATTCACCCGATTTTTTAAATGTCTGCATAATTAAATCATTAAGATGTGTTCAAAGTCAGTCAGAGTGATTTGAAGGCTTACCAAGTCAGAATTGTTCATAATAGTGGTGATACACCAGATAACCTGAGTTCAATGCCTCTAAAAGCTCCCTCAAAGAGTGTTTTAATATGGATGATTAGACAGTCAAAAGCAACAACTTATGTAGTACAGATAGGTTGGAAACAAGTGTGTGTTGGCAGTAACTACATTCCAGTGAAAGATTTTTTAATGAAAAACATTTGAAGCTGATGTCGGCAATGGAAGTAGAAGTTGTTGGTAGTATATTATGAATGTCAACAAAACTTATTTTCCCTTTAATTTAGCAGGAAAAATGTTTGTTAATACACTGAGAAGACCTACATTTGAAATGTTTGTAAGGGGAAAATGCATTTATGCATACATTTGGTATGTTATTGCCAAAAGTGTATTTGATGGAAAAAAGTTGGGAAAAAAGTTTTCATTTTACAATTTTATAATTTTTGAAGAACGTCAGTGTTAACTTCTGAAACTTCTGATCAGTTTTCATATCTTCAACAGTTACACACCCTATAAGACCCTTTATATCAAATCATTTTCAGGTTGTGTTCATTTCATAACTTAATTATCAAGGCCTTTTTTGAGTAGTAACTTTGTATCAGCTCTCCTCAGTTATAAACCACCTCATCTGTTTGTGTGTTCTTAGCTTGCAAGCACAGCTTGTGTGAACCATATATAAACAGCTGCACTTTGAGTTGAATGTGGGGCAGTCCATGAGCCACAAGGACCCCAGGGGCACTGACACAGCAGAGAGGCCTGCATGTCATGTATATATCCCAGGCCCGATATAGCTCAGTCACACACAAAATGGCGTGCTCATGGACGAGAATGCTGTCAGCAGTGGGATTTCCCACAAGAGACTTACCAACAATTAAGGTCATGGCAAAAAAAGGAGGAGACCAAGATTCAGGCTATAATCTTGTATAGTATATTTAGTGTATAGTCATGTACAGTCAAAGCGGCTCACAGTCACTCTAATTACTGATTTGTCAAGTTTACTCAGATTATCTGTGGAAAAAAAACGCAGTTGCTTTACATTTAAGTTGCTAGAAGTGAAAGGGAAGGTCAGTTTCCCAGACATAGACTTAGACTGGCCCTAGACAGCGAAGAGTTTCAGTGAAGTCTGGGTATTTTCCATAACAATCCAATTCTGGAATAAACTGGGACAATTCGCATGAGTCATGACAATCTTTTTCCTTACCCACGAGTAAAGTCAGCCAAATTTGGCTGAATTTAGCCAAAGGTTTTAGGGCGATTTACTCTGTAATCTTTGTTACAGAGTAAAGCATTTGTTCAAGCAAGTAGGCCTACAAATCAACAAGTCAGTGTTGCTCAGCCATACAAATATAAATGTAGTAATCGCTGGGCTGCTTTGGGCATTGCGGGGTGTAGGGTGTGTCTGTGTTGTGAGGAAAAGTACTAGTATAATCCCGTATGACTTTACAAACTCCAAGAAACTCATTCAGTGGCATTACACAAGGATAATACCATTACTCTGCATGGACACGAATGGAAGGATAGACACAACTATGTTCCTCTATAGGTTGTTTTCTTTTTCAGATCATTTTACAAGTGAAGTGTTTTGACATTGCTCACCACTCTAGTCTGGCGAGGCCTGTTCCATTGTAAGGCAAGTCATGAGGCAGTCAGGTTTACATGTAACACAAACATACCATATATGCACTCCATATCCCTGCTGACCTACATTTGAAGCGCTAATTGTGTCAACTTCCCTACAGGTCAGAAACATTATGGCGTCTCTGAATGTGCTTGTTCCTCGTTACAAAAAACTGCCTCAAGCAACACTGACCACAACAAACCATTTCATGCAGGATCCTGTTGATGGTCAGAGACACCATTTTCAGCACATTTCCCATTGGAATTGAGTTATCCCAGAAATGTTGTATTAAAGTATTAAACAATTTTTTATGCTGTTGGTGAGATTTGTCAAAATAGGAAAGAACTTTAAAGCACAAGAAGAGGATTGGAGAAATGCTGCTCAAGCCTGCAAAGAAACAAATGGGTGGCAAATGATAAATAAAAAAGCTGGAGAGGGAAAACAGAAAACAGATGGCTAACCACAGAGAACCATGGCGTCAGGAGTTTGGCTGCCTGGTTAAAATCTAACCAGATCTCTCTCCTCATCTTATCTGAAGTCCATTGCTCATAGTAAGTTTGTAAACATTTGAATCCCCGCTCTTACCCACACCTTAGCTCACTGCCTTTGCACGAAATCACGCATCAAGTTATGTGGTTTTATGGGGGATGCCCAGATTAATGTCAATCTTCAACTCACCATAAATGGGCCTTACTGTACTTGTGTGCTGGTGTCATGCTCTAGTACAAATGCAGACACTTATATTACAACATGTAGTTACCTATTGTACACTGAATACATTAGTTTATTAGGTCTAACTGTCATTGGCCATTTTATCAGGTACACTTACCATATACAGTACTGTGCAAAAGTCAGAGACCACCCTCACACCTGCCATTAAATACCATGTACAAACACCATATTTCATTAGAACAGATGCAAGCATACATAATTACAGTAAAAATGAACAATTATTTATAATATGTAATTTAAAATGTTTTCAAAAAAGTAGAGCAAAGTTGATTCCAGGCACATAAACTTGTTAAATTCCAGCGCTAGCACACTTGATTTAATTTCAAGTATTGATCAGTCATCCCAGGTATTGAGTAAGGTATTGAGTAATAATGTTGAATAATATTAGTGATTTACTGAGCAGTTAGATGCTTACTGCCCAGATAAATAGCTTTTTCTTCTAGTTTTCTCAGCTGCCTAAAACTTTAGCACAGTACTGTACATTTAACAGGAAGTTACACATAAGTCTCAGTAATGAAATATTTTTCAGTCTTCGCTGTGTCCACCCTTTTCCTTTATTACAGCTTCCATTCTCTATCAAAAAATCCGCAGGGATATTTTTCCACACCTCCCAAGTTCAGTCTTAGAGCTTTCTTTTTCTGCTTCTTGCAATCCAAGTAATCCCAAAAACTTTCAGTAATGTTGAGCTCTGGACTCCTTTTTTGTGTATTTTCTTTTCTCAGTAATAGCTTCTAGACAGCTACACACAGTGTTGTGAATGAACGTGTTCAATGAACGCCGTTAATATTTTTTGTGAACGTTGAACTGAACAAATGAGTTTACAAATAACAAATTACTCGCGAGCGTGCACGCCACTCGTTCACGTGTGCCCTCAAGACAGCAGGTACAGAAAATGTTGGACAGTGCATTCGGTGAGAGTATTACTGACTTAAAGGCTGCGGTATAGAATTAATTTTTAATTTTAGAGTAGCAAAGATTTTGGGTTAGTGATGGGTAGAAAAAGGTTCCATTGAAAAAGAATAGTGGGCTATTTATTGAAAAAAAAACAAACCTGAACTAGTTCATTTTCATTAGTATGAACTGAACTTTGAACTAGTTCATTTTCAGTGTGAACCGGCACAACGCTATCTACACATCCTTTCAGACTCATAGTGTTGAGTTTCTTCTCACAGTGGAAGGAACAGAAACACCTGTTTTTTTCAGATCTGAGGCAAAAGTGGACCATGATTTTCTCCTTTCTCTCAAAAATTAAAGCTTTGTGCTGTTTATCTGATGGTGACAGTTCTACCGACGGATCTACCAGGTCTTGCACAGTTGGAGTCCAATTTTTTCTCTATTAGTTATTAACTTTTTGAACTCTAGTTTCAGATTTACTAATTTACCTTTGACTTTCCCCTTCCACAAGTGGATTATTCGGCATCTAATTTCCTCAGAAATGTCTTCTGAAAAATGATTAACTTGTACTTAATGGCTGTTTTGACTGGAAATTAAATGAAGAGTGGCAAGAGGCTCCTAATAAACAGAGGCAACTCAAGACACAAGATAGTTCAGGACAGAAAAGCTAGACTATGTTTAGATACATGTTGCTACAACAACAAGAATGTAAAAACTGAGCTTGTGTTAGAGAAACGGGCTACAAGTGTGGCAATGCAGCATTCTGTCCTTTTTAATGAATGCTTAGTGTGTGAATACTAGTTCTCTATAGCTAACGTGCTTTAAAGTAACAACTAGTATGGTGTTTTGGAGTGAAGGGATGTGGAGATAGAGGGGCATTTGAGGGCACTGCTGCTCTGAGCCTCTGTTTACACACCCACTTCCTGTCCTCCAGACAGATGGGCCATTGGATCACAGCCCTTGTTTCCACGACGACTGCTTTGGCTGCAGCCAATAGAGAACCACGCGACACATGGCCCATTACAAGAGCCAAGCCAAACTGGCTTTTATTGAGACTTAGAGAAAACGTGTGTATATAATACAGGAGTAACTTTGCTAATAACTAAAGCTATACAGCAGATAGTATTTGAACTTGTGTTCAGTTCAACTCTAATTAGTTGCCAAGTGACCTTAAGATCAATTCTTAGGTCATGTAGCTGTATGGATCAAAAGGCAAATTCCAACAGAACAACAAACAAACCAGGAGAACAACAAACAATAAACCCTTTGCATAAATACATGATAGTTTTATAGAGTTTTATACTGATTTCATATAAAAAAAAACATTCAGCATAGAACAGTATATCACAGAAATAAACATTTAGTTTGTAGAACAATGTAAAAAATAGCCCATCCCAGTATATCAATAAATATATAGTCAATAAGTACTTTGATATAAAAATCAGTGGATATGTATGTTTGAAAAATAACCCTGATGCTATACAGTTTGTAGTTAAAATTGGCCCCAAAAAGGGCGACTTGAGAGACTGTATAATAAAATAGGACTTTGGAGAAAGTTTAGCTCTAAAGCTAAGGAATAACCTATTTGACATTCTAAAATGTAATACTATCAACTTGACATTCTGCACTCAGAAATTCTTGCACATTTTGTCTTGCAAGGTGGTTTTTGGTTCAGTAACAGCAGATACTTTCCAGGAACAACACACTGCAAGCAATAACACACAGAATATGTACATATATCATGCTTTGTCAGAACATTTAGAGCCTTGGGCAACCATGGAGCTATTTTGGCAATTTCCAAACATGTTAATAGGACAACTGGATCAGAATTATGCAAATGAATGATGACCTGTGTTCCTGCACAAAAGAATGCATCAGGCTTGTCACATTAAGCATGATTTGTTTGACTCCTGTCAAAGATGGGGTTTACTCGTTTCTTCTCAGAATATCTTCCCTCTGTCACATGCAAGGATTGCACAACTCTGCTTTAAGACAGACTACCTGTTTTTCGGATGAAACTGATTTGTCCCAACAGATTTGTACACACAAACACTACACGCTCAAAGTCACATATGTACACAAACAACACTGGTGACACAGTACCTGACAGAGTTGCTGAACATGGGGTTATGCTGTACGCGCTAAATACTGCTCAGTGTTTTGTATAAATAAAGAAACCAATGAGAATGCCCCAGAGTCCCTCTATCTACAACAAGACCTGCACTTGGCCCCTTTTACTGCATGCATTCAGCTCTACAAATTAAAATTTCCAGTGCTGTGTCTTTCAGAGATGAATAATACCGACAGAGTATGAAGTGGACATCTTCTTTTAGAGTGACTCTGTTCTGCTTTGTTATTCTTACCAAAATATATCATATGGCTCATACAGGTGTTTACAACAAGATCATACGTTTTTGTGTTCAAGAGAATTCACTCACACTTATGCATAGATGTGCATACATATTACATCTCTTTAGCCATGTGTACCAAAGGGGTGTTGGGGTTAAAAAAAAAGGGTTCAAAAGCAAAGGCCTAGGCTACACATAGGAAAATACAGATGTGGAGTGCACAGAATAAGGCCTAAGGTACCTCCAAGGCCATAAAGACAGAGTCATGTAAACAAGTCCATGGGGTGGGGGGTGAAGACCTTTTAAATCTCAGTGAGGGTCAGCTTCACCATGCCCCCCATCTCCTCCATATGGATCTGGAAGGTGTCCTCATTGGAATAATGCTTGATGATGTTGTCGTCCATGTTCACCAAGATGCTGCCATGATGAAACACAAAATGGTAAGCTTAGTTTTCCTTTTTTTTTTAGCAGTAGAAACAGATCTTTTTCTGAAGAGATCCATGGACCTTACCCTTTTTTACACTTCTTGTAGACCTTCCCCAGCTTCTCGAGAGGAACTTCATACTTTTCTGAGATCTGAGAAGAAAGAAAAAAAGAACATTTCATCTCTTTTCACAAAGAAGACAGCATTAAAGGGTTTGATGACAGTACTACTCCAGCAGTTTCTTAAAAAGGAACAGCTACGAGTATTTGGTGAATTATGTGACCTCCCCACGCTATGACTTAATGGAACATTTGTAAACCAGAGCAAATGGGTGCACTGCCAACTCATATCATAGATTGTCTTATCTTGGCATGGAGGCTTATTATAGTGCATTCCCAACCCCCTGCCATCCCCCCGTCAGCTCCTTCTGCCCATTCTCTTCACTAATGCCGATGTAATGTGTGTGTAGAATGTCATCATCTACATGCACATACGCACAGACATGCACACCCATCCCCCTCACACCCACAAACAAATGGAGGCACGCCATTCCTCAGTTCTGGCCTGTCTGCATGCCATCTTGTTGGCAAGCCCTTTTCTATGACACCTAAAGCCATCTGTGTGCCCTGCTACCTAGATCCTTCTTCATAACAATCGTAAACAGGCCCAGCACCACAGAAAGGGGAGGGGGGCAATGCCCCCTTAGTTGGAATATTGCCACCCCTCAGTTTTGTGTTCCTAATTTGTCCAAGGTAGCCTGCCCTTAAAACTTGATTCACGGAAGTAATGTGGTCCTAACTGACCAAGCTGTTTAGACTTTCCAATCGATATTGCCTAATTTGAGATATGAGATCAGATGTAGCTGCATGCTATCGTTTTCAGGCTGGCTGACATCTATTTTCTGTTGATGTGTCAAAGCTTGTCATCCCAAAGATTTTTAATGGATCTGGCTGAGATCATAGTAAAGTTATTTTGCTTTTCATGATTGGAAATACTACATATTTTAACTTTAACAGTTGTTGTAGAATAGTAGGAAGTACTACTGGCCTCCAGGAAGCAAACTGGCAGTTTAATACCCCAAGCAAGCACACCACGCTACACCAATCCCTGGGCAAGACTCCTAATGCTATATTTATACATCTGTAACATGACTGCCAACATGAATAACTATACGTCACTCTATATGAGTCAAATGTATAATTGTAAATGTAATATTTGGTCAGCAGGCTCTTAAGGACAGACATGTTATATTATGGTTAGTTATGAAAACAGATACACCTGATATCCCCAGCATTCACTGAGTAAAGGTAATAGTGTGTGAAAGTTGTTTCCTCTTTTACCTAATTAAGCTCATATTAATCTATAGACCTTTAGGAAATGATTCAATGCATAGCGACATCTCTGAATCCACCTCAATTTGATGTGATTTTGGGGAATTTTAACTTTTGAAAATAGCCTTACATTCTTATTTTGGCCAAATAATGAGCACATACTTTACTGAATATGATTATAATTGGCTCTAACATTCTAAAATTGATGCTGTTAAAATCTTCAGATGAATGATTCATGATGCCTCAATGTATTTTTTACACCCATACTAATTACTCATTATTAATAAGAACCCTACACATTACTCATCCACACATATGCACACCCTAGTCTGTGCAGAAGGCTCCTTCAGTACGAGTTTGGTCTGTTCTGGAGTGTGGAGTTAGCGGGTTGTGGAGCCGTGCTGGGCTCTTATTGACAGCACTCCTCAAGCTGTCCTTTGAGCCTTCTGTTTTCTGTGGGTTCAGTGACCTGATTAGACCTTAGCCCCTCCAACCCCATGCCAGTGTGCCCCACACGTTGATCAGTGAGGGGTTTCAGAGCAGATCACACGTGTCAGTTACACTCCCCTGGACCCTGGCTCACACTCTGTCTCTTCCCGGGAACTGTTTGGGAGACGCTCTGCTGTATTACGATCTGAGCCATGGCTTTAGATAGCCTGTGTAATTACTGAGGAGATGGCAGCAAGGAGGAAAGAGGGATAGAGATAGTCTGTGTATGCACACGTATGCATGGTGGGAGATTTGACAACAAGGCCACCCACAAAGATTCTGTCCCACGGTTTAGACAGAAGTCTACCACTATACTTATTTGCCTCTCTCTAGTGGTGTGTCCTTACATGACCCATCTGCTGCAGCATTCTTTAACATTCAAACTACAGCTTTTCAGGGAGAGAGAGAGAGTTTTCATGTAAAAAACCACTGTGGTCATTTGTTTTGTTCACAGATGTACATATTTGAAACCCAAATCGCCAACTTACGCACTGTGTTCTCACCACTTTCTGCAGTATTGAATGGTTGTGATGCAATGTCAGTATGCTTTTGGAGGCTTGAACAATGCTAATACATTAAACAATGATGTCTGAATCCTCTCACCAACATTGTGAATAATTCTGACTGTAAGTTTCTCTAGAATGGGGCATTTGTTTGTTTACTTTGCTTACATCTGAATGATTGAATTATACAATTATAACTCTTAAAAAAAAGTAATTGGAATTCTTCCTTAAATCAATGAAATAAAACTTTTCTAAAGGTGCTTATACGTGAAATATCTTGCCACAGCCCTTAAAGTTGCATTTTTGTTATATCTGCAGTGGGGATTATGTTTACATTCTGTCCATAAACAACCTTGTATTTTGCAGCGAGGGAAAACTAATATGGCAGCCAAGAGGCTTCATGTTGCTATGCACAGAACAATGTGATCAGCTATCAATGCCTCTAATATGTACATTTATGGTTCTAATCCATCAGTGGCTTGCTCTGGTTCTGATGGTGGAGGTGGGCAACTTTTTTCAGTCTGAATCGGATAGTGACTGGAGCCTCAGGCTCCGCTTTGTCGCTGTGTAATGATGTGTTAGCTTATGTTCTGACACTACAAGAGATGAACTCACCGCTTCCACTAGTCCTTTCAGTGTAGGAGTCTTCAGCATGAGAGCATCAAAAACCTCCTCGCTCTCCTTGCGAACGTACAGCAAAACTGAAAGGGCCAGAAAAATGTGGTCAGATGTCATGACACACAAAGAGACAGGCACACAAACAGGCACGCACACACTTCCTCTGGACTTCTCGAAAATGAGGTCAATGCTACGAACCCAGAAAATAAAACAACAAAAACATTTACCAGCAAAAGTAAAGTCAATGTCATCTATTTTGCTGTGGCCAAGCCTTCATGTGGCTGGGCAGCATTTGATCTGCTCTGGGTGTCCTTGGCTCCAGTGATTCTGCACCTCACATACTGTTCCCTTCAGTTCGGGACGCTGCCCAAACCCACAGACTGACAGCAAATCCCCCCGTATTGCCTTTGACCCAAGACTGCAGGAGGAGAGGGCAGCGTTCCAATCGGCTAGGCTAGTGTGTTTGGGTGGGTAGTGCACAGAAAAGGAAGTGTTGTGGAGCTCGGCGGAGGGTACTAAAGCCGGGGATTACACACTCAGCTTCCCAAAGCAGAGACTTTGTGTTGGTTTTGGCATGAGGCCTGGCCAAACACACACACACACACACACACATACGCCCACACATACACACCCACCCCTCAGCCTCTAACCCGAGCCAAGGAGCAAATAAGAGGGCCAGAAAAAAGCCAACACGTGGGGAAGCCGGCAGGGCTCCTTTGACCAGCTACTGCTGCTCTTTTATTAAGCTTTAGCTCAATGACTGTTTGTTGCAATGTTTGCATGCATGGGTGAGGGATCTAAGCATGTACTGATGTGAATTTCTGAAAAACAACAAATCAAGTTCTTCAAATCCTTTATAACAGAAAACCAAATAACACTCAATCCCAGTCCTGGGGACATTCTGCGCTGCAGAATGTTTCCTTGTTGAAATGTTTATTCTAATATTATGTTGTATTTTCTATACTTCTTTGTTTATTACATTTGTTAAATATGCTGATTTCTGTAATGCTAGTGCAAGATTTAACCCTCAACCTCATCCCAGAGCTGAAAGGTAGAGAGATATTAGGTAGATGAGTGTGTTTCTTGGAAAAACCACATCATCAGCCATTGACCCAAATGGTGCCTCCACTTTTCCTGGTAGTGACACTTTTATTTTTTATCAATTTTGAGAAAACATGATGTGATAGGAATTAATGTATAAAGTTTCTAAGTTCTGTATAGCAAAACTGAAAAACATATATTGTTTCACAAACCCCATCAACATTAGCTGACCTGTGTACTTGGGGGATGAAAGAGAAAACATAAAACTGTGCAAAGCAGGGGGTCTCCTGGGACTGTGGTTTGAGAAACACTGTCCTATATCATTTTTTATTACTATTGAGATATTTATTCTAATTTATATAAGACATTAATTCTACATGTTTTGCCAGCACTTGATATTATTGTTGATATTGACCATGCAGTGTATATAAAAAGTTGAACTAGCATCAACTGCGCTTCTTTTGTGGGTCAAAGGTTGTAGCAAACACAACTGTCTGTTTGCTGAAGTGCAGCTATAAGCATGCAAGATTTAACCCTCAACCTCAATACTGTTCCACAAAATACTGGGTCCACATACATAAACAGAGGAATGGAGAAGCAAGCAAATGCATGAGACACAGATTATTTATAATGTGAGCTACCATCCTAATGGGACTGCACCATGGTGACAACACACACAAACACGCACACACACACACACACACACACACACACTTTTATTCAAAAGATTTGAAAGCACCTGTCATATTCAGTAATAACAATAATAACTTGTATCACTTGCATGTCTTACAATGCAGATTTAAATATTATAAACTAGAAGGTATTCTAGATTTTTTTGAGTTTCATTCAATTCAAGTATTTCAAGAACAAGAAGAAATTATTAAATGACAAATAATATACTATAATTGTCTGTTTACAAAACATTCAGTCAAGCTATGTACCTCGAGATTTAATCAGGACGATTGAAATATGACGTATTCTGGATATTAACTTTATTATATATTTTTCATTTAATATTAATGTCATTCTTGACACTGTATAGCTTTATCAGTCACTTTAAAATCATTTAAAGTGCTGTTCATCTCTTTTTTTTACTGCTTCCTACAAATTATTTGAAAACTGTGGAGCTGCGTAAGACTAAAATTTCATTTCCCTGAACTACGTTATCGATTTCAAACTTTTTAACCACAGTTCCAAACTTTTAAACAGTGGCACACAAAATTTATAACAGCAACAGAAAAACACAACACACCTCTCTTTGGTTCATCCACCCTGGCCAATTTACTGGGAGGAGATCCAAACTCCTCCTCTGAGTAGGGTAATCTCTTCATCCCAGAGCTGAAAGGTAGAGAGAGATTAGGTAGATGAGTGTGTTTCCTGGAAAAACCACATCATCAGCCATTGACCCAAATGGTGCCTCCACTTTTCCTGGTAGTGCTGAAAGTTCAGCTAAAGTTGACTTTTGCTCTACAGTACATATTACGAACCCTCCCCTTCTTCTCTTTAATGAACAAGCCAATATTAGCAGAGGGGGGGGGACTTACCCATCTTCTGCATCCTCAGGAGAGAAAGGCTGTAAGGAGGGAAGAAGACAGCAGAGGAAATATAACATTACTCAGTTGGCAGGGACACAAAAGAACATTAACAGTTAGCATGAAATGCATTGCCAGCTTGTACTAAAAGCATGATGAAGCCTCTAACTGCATTCACGTTTCATTTAAGGGTGCATTACATACTGCTTTAAAAAATATTTCCACACTCAAGAACCTTATGTTTAGGAAATGACAGAGAGTCAAGGGACAGTCAGTGAACAATATGAAAAGAAAAAGCTTTTGAATGCAGCTTGTTAATATTAAAACATCAGCATGCTACATTACCACATATTTGCTTTTTAATGGTTTTGATATTCAGCAGACAAAACAGTGACAGTAAACTCAAAGACACAGGCTATATTTAGAGCCAGGTAAGTTTGTTTTTTGAAAACATCATTAAAATGTTTGATGGGATCAGCAAGCATCACAATTTCCAAATTTAATCAAAATTGTATTTCTTAACTTTTACTTGAATTAATTTGTTTATTCATTCAGTAAAAAGGATCATGACATATTGTGATTTGCTGAATAATGTAAATGCAATTAGCTTTCAAACGTGTAACTAATCAGTTGCTTCTGCTTATTATTTCTGTTATTATATGATGTTACAGTGGAGTAGTATTTTTAAATAAAATGTAATCCTTTAATTAGCAGTCATCTTACATTTATTTTAATTCACGTGCCAGCTATTTAGGACAGATACAGGGCCAGAGATGATGAGGATCATAGCGTTCTCCTCTGTACACTAAACAGTAAATGATCGTGCCTCAGTGTGCACATGATGCAGGAGGAGGACTTCTTCACCAGCTGCTAGGTGACTGAACCCACTTGGGGTTCAGCGGGGTTGCCATTAGAACTGCATCACCACCCTGTGCTAAAACAAATATTTTTCTGCCTATGATAGGACAGCAAACAGGCAGGTTTATTTTTGGCTTCAGCCTGATCTGGGGGTCAATACCACATGAACCCAGCAGGAAAACTACGTTCTGACCTGCAAGTGTGTAGCCAGAGAAGTCAAAGGTCAATTTCAGGGAAGCCTCTCACCTGTGCTCTAATAGAGCACGTGACATCAGCAGTAGAGGAAGGGTTGAATCGAACAGATTAGGAAATTCAGTGTGGGGGAGATGGCAAGAACACAATACAGTGGGGCAAAAAAGTATTCAGCCACTGATTGTGCAAGTTCTCCTACTTAGAAAGATGAGAGAGGTCTGTAATTTTCATCATAGGTACACTTCAACTATGAGAGACAAAATGAGAAAAAAAAATCCAGGAAATCACTTTGTAGGATTTTTAAAGAATTTATTTGTAAATTATGGTGGAAAATAAGTATTTGGTCACCCACAAACAAGCAAGATTTCTGGGTCTCACAGACGTGTAACTTCTTCTTTAAGAAGCTCTTCTGTCCTCCACTCGTTACCTGTATTAATGGCACCTGTTTGACCTCGTTATCTGTATAAAAGACACCTGTCCACAGCCTCAAACAGTCAGACTCCAAATTCAACCATGGCCAAGACCAAAGAGCTGTCGAAGGACACCAGGAAGAAAATTGTAGACCTGCACCAGGCTGGGAAAAGTGAGTCTACAATAGGCAAGCAGGTTGGTGTGAATAAATCAACTGTGGGAGCAATTGTAAGAAAATGGAAGACAAATACAAGACCATTGATAATCTCCCTTGATCTGGGGCCCCACGCAAGATCTCATCCCGTGGGGTCAAAATGATCACGAGAACGGTGAGCAAAAATCCCAGAACTACACAGAGGGACCTGATGAATGACCTGGAGAGAGCTGGGACCAAAGTAACAAAGGCTACCATCAGTAAAACACTACACCGAGAGGGACTCAAATCCTGCAGTGCCAAGCGTGTCCCCCTGCTTAAGCCAGTACATGTCCAGGCCCGTCTGAAGTTTGCCAGAGAGCATATGGATGATCCAGAAGAGGATTGGGAGAATATCACTGCTCTAGAGGAGATCTGCATGGAGGAATGGGCCAAAATACCAGCTAGTGTGTGCAAACCTGGTGAAGACTTACAGGAAACGTTTGACCTCTGTCATTGCCAACAAAGGTTACGTTACAAAGTATTGAGTTGAACTTTTGTTATTGACCAAATACTTATTTTCCACCATAATTTACAAATAAATTCTTTAAAAATCCTACAAAGTGATTTCCTGGATTTTTTTTTCTTTTCTCATTTTGTCTCTCATAGTTGAAGTGTACCTATGATGAAAATTACAGACCTCTCTCATCTTTCTAAGTAGGAGAACTTGCACAATCAGTGGCTGACTAAATACTTTTTTGCCCCACTGTAGCTTTATACTGACAACAATATAAACCATGAAGCATTATTAAATGTAAATAAATCTTAAGATATTAGGCATGAAAAGCAATAAGCCTCTCCTCTGCAACCATGTTAACATTTGCATCCCTAAAAGCTAACTTAGCAACCTAGCTTATCTCCAAACATGGCTATCCGTGAAAGAAAAGAAGTCAAAGTATGCACACTTTGAGTTGCTACTCCTTACAAGCACCTGGTTTAAGATTCTTCACCAGAGCTATCAGACTCCTATCTGATAACAGCCAAAACTGTGCCATAAAGAGCTCACTCCATGACATGGAGAGAGCACGCAGTTCCTGCATGTTAGCAAAGAACAGCTCTCAGGTCACGGTGACCTGACTCCTGGTTTTGTTATCTCTAGTATGAGTTTGCAGGAACTTGTACTACTTACATGAAATCCACCAACACACTCACATAACACTCAGCGAGTAGCGACATCTGTAGCAAGAGTCAAGTTCATTTGATTCCAGTACAAGGCAGCTTTCTTACTGCATAAAAGCTAGGATCATTATATTCTACATCATAGCCAGGTTGCAAAAATCCATTGAAAATCACTACCTAATTAATGTTCACTACATAATTACTGTAGCACAAAAAGCATTTCATGTCTTTGCTATTGCAAATAACTCCTCTTGCATTAGTCAGACTCAAGAGACAAAGACCAATACGTGCAACACTGGAGTACATCATGATAATATTTGCTCTATCTACTATCTGCTCTCTTGTACAGTGATGCTCAGATACTATGTGTAGACAAATAAAGCTTATTAGGTCACAAATTCAAGACTTTTTGAGTCTTGTAAAACAGTGTTTCTCAGCCCAGTCTTCAATTATTTTCTCTAATCAAGCTAAAATCAGTGGTGGGAACAAGTCATTATGTTGCATGTAACAAGTAACTTTCAAATCTTTACACTAAAGTCAAGTCCCAAGTCTTATACTTTGAGTCCTAATCAAGTCAGACTGGTATACAGTATATAGCCTGACAAACTTTTGTTTATCAGGCTATATGCTGTGTTAGAGCAATAATAGTTGTGCTCAGAAGTGCATACAAATGTACACAAATGGGGGCAGATAATGAGAATGCGACTGACAATATTCTGAGTGTAGCCATGACATCTAGGCCTACAGGGCTGATTTTAGCTCCAAGCAGTATAACATTGCTGTCAGAACAAAACCTTGCATCTCTAAAATGCTAACTTTACAGGAAAAGAAAAAAACTTCTGAAAATTGTAATAGAAGTGCATGTAACAATTTTTTCCAAGCCATTTTGGGCCATTACAATTGGTCCATTCATCATTACATTTTCAAAAAGGCCAAGGATGACTGGACTGCATGACAGCAACGATAAGCAGTTGCTTAGGGCCCCTCAGCCTCCAGGGAGCCCTTCAATAATCACAAGACACAGTGAATTAATGATTAGCATGGTACAAGCAGTTGCATAGGTCAGAAAAGAACACAGAGTGCAACTGGAAAGGTGTCCAAGCAAAGATCTTTTAGAAGATACTTGTACACAAAATACTATGATTAAGTGGGGGGATGGGGGGTAGGTAGAATGTCACCTGTTCAAATGTTCAGTGCACATCAGATGGTCTGCAGGCTGAAACTAAGTGCTGTAGGCTGTTAAAGTTGTCTTTCTGATTTTGTCAAGTCATGCCTTAAGTCATCAAATGTGTGACTCAAGAATGACTCAAGTCATGTGACTCAAGTCCACAACTTTAGGCTTTAGGTACACCTCTACTAGGTACTCTCAGTTCATTATGGCTTGCTTCAGTTATGTTGGGAGCTGAGACAGAGCCAAAATGAGGACCACATGATGGGCTTTGATGACTGGGCTGAGGAACACTGCTGTACAAGTAAGAGAACGGTGCATCGTGACTGACTCAGATATTCTTTAGTGCTGTGTTGACCACTTATTTGATGCAGTGGCAGTAATGTGACTGCTTTCAGGAACATGTTAGTTTCGAGTGTGTCTTGGATAAGAGGAAGTTGCTGATACTCACATGACGCTGGAAGCTGGCAAAGTGAATGTCTGGAATGAAGAGGACAGGCTGTGTTTCCAAGTCTGTCATCATCTTGAAGGTGGTGATATCACTGCGCTTGTGCAGGAGGGGCACCTTGACATCCACGTCTGGAGAAGAATGAAACATACACACATATACAGAGAATTAACTCTGTAGAACAGTCAAAACTGCTGTCCTCTAGGGGTGTAAAAATGCAGTGATGCATTGTGATGCATTGATCTCAGGACATTGATTTAGTTGATTTTGAAATGGTGGAATTAATTATAATTATTTTTAGCCAAAATGTTCAGGACATTTTTATGAAAATCCAAAAAATTTAAAATTAAAGCCTCATGATTCATTTAATTATTTCCTATAGGACTGTAATCAAACTGTAATTGTAATCAAACCAAACTGTATTGAGGTCAGAAAAACTCCTTACTGTGCTGTACAGCTACTACCAAAGGAAAAAGAATGCTTAAAGAAACACTCCACCCAAAAACACTAATATGACTAAGGATGCCTCAAAGTTGGGAACCAGTTAGCATCGTCATTGTTTGCTTCTGAGAACAAAGATGACGCTAACTGGCAGCTGGAGGTCACACTCACAGGGAGCCAGTCCGGGGTTAACTTCAGGACATTTGCCCTTCCGACGTGACTGCTTGCGCTCCTCATCACGAATCTTGCGCTCAGCGCCCTTGTCACAGAAGACCTTGATCTGGCAGTATGCGCGGTGGATGGGCTTGTTGCTGCGGTTGTTGTAGCTGTAGGTGTCAATCTGCAGGTTGAGGGGGAGACCCTTCACCCCCTTCTGAGAGGAAAAGTCTGTGCTCAGGCAGTTCACCGAGATGAAGATCTGAGGAAAGTCAGGAGTTGGCGAGATATCAGGAGAAATTCTCAATGGAGCAACACAAATCATGGTAAAGAATACACTCAGCATTTGGTGTGCTGGACGGGTTGCAAGCTTAATTGAAATTTCACATTAGATTATTTCACTCATTTTACAATGGAACTGTATCTGGAAAGGAAACTATGAACTCCTTAAAGGGACATTCCACTGATTTTTCAGAATTTGTGCATAATTAAATCATTAAGAAATAACATAGTTTGTGGTTTTGATGTGAAATGCTCCCATCTAGAGAAAACATATCAAGTCAGAATTCTTAAACTTTCAGTGCCTCTAAAAGCTTCATCACAGGAAGTCATAACACAAAATGGTTACAAATATGATACCTGATGCCTGATACATTGTTTTATGATTGTTTTGAGATAAAGTTTAGGTCTAAAATGTAAAAATACACTCATGGCAGGGAGGTGCATGGCGGGCATTGTAAGGCAGAATAGACCCCAACTAAGAACGTTTTTTTAGATATATCACAAATTTAACCATTACAATCATACATGTAGAAACAGAGAGGACATATATAGGTTCACACTTGGTTTTGGATATTAAATTAAATTGTATATTATAGTATATGTGCATTGTAGACGTTCTGACTACTAGTTCCTATCACCACCACTTTAAAGAAATCTGACTCAGCATCCTTTTCTACTTCACATCAAACCACTCCACCAAGATAGAATTATACAGGAACGTAAAAAAAAAAAAAAGTGGAATTCCCCTTTAGTGTCATGCAGGCCTATCACTTGTTCCATCATTTACTCACTCACAAACAATTTTAAATTATTACTCACAGAATGTAAACATGTCTTGAGTCATGTTTTTATTTAGATGATGACGTACACTAGAGGTAGATGCATGTCTCCCTCTTTTGGCTGTTTTGTGCAATTACATTTTGCTGCCTGGTGCCATGTATGGCTGTTAGATGTGGAATATGTTTGAAATACTAATAATAAAGTTCAGAATATACACACAAGAATGTATGAACAACTGTAGCCCTTTATATAATAAAACCTATAATAAACTTAAATTATTGCAAATATTTCTACAACTAAGTTGACAAAACATATACTGTGCTGAGCAGAGGTTTTAGGCACCTGAGTAGTAAGCAGTAAGTATTTATTTGCTCAGAAAATACTCATATTAGAATGAATACAAATATCTAATACAAAAAGTAGTGTTTTATGTATGTCAATATGTTTAGCCATTTCCAAACATCCCCTTGTTGTTACTTTTTCAAAATATGCATTTTCTTGTTACTTTATTTTTTATTTATGTTTGTTTGCACCTATTCTAATGATAAGAGGCATTTTACAGGCAAAACATGCCAAGATAAACTGTTTTAAATGATGTGCTTAAGTGCCTAGAACTACTGCACAGTCCTGTAAATCAAGCAAAAAATAATAAAAAAATGTTGTAAATTGAATAGATAAAGTCTTCACAAAGCATCATAAAGAACCAGACAGAATGTCTAAAACTTCAACAGAGTTAAACATTCCAACAGGTGACCTGAAGCCACTGCCTGTTATTTCTGAAGTGATCATTAGGGGGCGCAACAGACATAATTATGTATATTCCACTTGACAAGTCAGTCTGTTTCTGTTACTGCATTGTGGCTGTACACAGGTAAGTCAATAATTCAGAGGACACAACAATCAATAGCATTTCATTTATAATTACTATCCAACATGAAGTCGTAATATGAGTGTTCTGTAATTATTACATTATCACATTAATAAACACGAATAAGAAAGATAATATCTCTGACTCACTCTCTCCCTCTGTCTCTCTTTGTCTGTTTTGTGCACACATAGACACACACAGTAAACAGACAGCACTCCAGTGCCTGTGCACACGGATGAGTATCCTATGACCCCATGCATATCTTATGATCTACATCCTGGATTTTAGCACACATCACATACTGCTTCATTTTGGATATGACTCATACAAATACATTTTGCATTATCCTACATAAACAAGGTTTGGGCTAAAAAGGACACTAGGCCACTGACCACTTCAGGAGCTCAAATCTAAGTCAAGCGAAAAGTGGCTGAGCTGATCAGTGGAGGAAGATTAAAGACAAAATCTGGCTGTCACTTTGTGACGAGTTGCAACAGACTCATCTTGACCTACTCGTTGAACGAGATTCCGTAAAAGCTGTCAGTGTCTAAGCTCTGGGTCTTGGCTCTTCTACTTTGTTTCCTCATTCTTGTTTGTGCTGTTGCATTAGTGAGCTGTGTCTCACCCAAACGTCTCTTTCTGAATGCATCACCTCAGCACACAATAGGCCTGACAGGTGAAAAGGGCTGAGAAGTGATTCTCACCAACTAGTGCACTAACACTCACACCCACATACACGTTTTCTCAGCCACACAATAAGTATCTGTCCAACACAACCAGCTATACTTTCTATTTCATGCATTCGGCATAAACTATTAGTCAGTATGAGAAAACGAATTTAAACAAAATACAAGGCTTAGAAATTCCCCAGTTTGCACTTCCTTGTTATTATTCACTCCTGATCACACCTTTCTAACCTGGAGAAAGAGCTTGCTGGGTGTGTTTTACCTGAATGACGCCCATTGTTTGACTAATCACAATGTCCCCTACGTTGCACTGTCTATTTTGAGTGTAAATCTCCACCATAGTCCTTCTTTCCTAAAAGGTCAGGCTTATTTTAGGATGGTCTTCTACATGCACGCTAACATGGCAACCTTGCAATTCAAAAAGAGGACACTTTTCATTCCGCTGTAAACGTCTGATGACCTGTTGGTCTGTAATCTGACTGAATGTGCTAGTATCTAACTTGCCTAAATGTCTTAAGGTAATGTGACGTACCATTAAAAAAGGCAAAGCAAGCATGTGGTACAAGCATACAGTACATGCACCATACGTATCAATCCTGAATCATGAAATTTGAAGGTCCAGTAAGTAAAAATTTTAAGACAAGTAAATAACACCATAGCTAATGACTGTAGGTGTGGAATTTCCCATAGAAATGAAAATAAAGGTTCATGACTGCTGAGCTTTTTACCAAACCAAAGGTGGTCAGTACAAAGCTGAATTTTGAACTTCAGGTTTGTTTTGTCACTTTGTTTCTTACCTGATTTGAAATTTGAAATAAAAGAAAAAAAAGGTCTTTACTAATGTACCACAATAAATTCATTCATAGTCCAACTACTTTTACAGTTCATCCCTGTTTTGGGGTAGGTAACAATGGAACTCTTTAAATTTGATACAACTTGCTCGACTTGTGAGTAAGCAGCAGATTTCTCCACTATTGCTATTTGTAATAGACAAAATGAGTATCTTATATCAAAGTTTGAAAGGTATAACACAAACAACCACAGAGTTATAGAGGCTGAGTACAAAAAGTACTACAACCCTCCCCAGACTACCTATCGGAGTGATAAAATTTGCTTTAAGCCCTACCTTTGCCTCCTCGTTGATGTCCCATGTGAAGGATATGGCATTGTAGGCAATCTCCTCGATGTTACTGATGGTATTGAAGCTTTCTTTGTAGTCAGCTGTGGACAACAGGAAATGCTATGGTTAGTAACAAAATTGGGAGGGATTGAAAGGCCAGAATGATGTTCCAGGAGAAAGGTGGAAAAATGTAGGGATAGACATGAAGTAATGCTGTGAAAGAATAACAACTTCTGCTAGACTTGGTGCTGTGAGCTATTAATAGGGGACAGGTAAAACTGGAGCCACTTCTTAAAGGGATCTTAGGCGTCTCTATAAACGGTGGAATTACACTGTCCAGCAATGTAAACACAAAAACTCATTCATCTTTGAGTCGTGTAATGATAGTGCCTATCCATCCATGTTTTAATTCAATGACATCTTTACTGTAACTAGAGCCAGACTAAAGACTTTTAGCCACGCTATAGACCACTTATATCTAAGTTACCAAAACCTGTATGTACTGAAAACAGTCTGCATTGACATGTAAATCTCCAAGTGAGCAAAGTTCACTGACAGTTGGAGCTAGCTACCTCACTGGAGGCAAAAACAACACAGAGAAGCTTCACAGCCTTCGGTTATGTTGTCTTCTGACCTTTGTTGTACGTTGAGCGTTTAGACTGATCGCAGGCTCTCTCTTTTTCCAGGTACATTTAGGCCGTTTGCCTTGTCCCCACCTGCTGCCCCCATTGACTTCAGTTTGTGGATGGTAAACAAATAGGATCATTAAGCTCTCTCAACCTCCACATCCCCCCTCACCCACCCATTTCCACTGTAGCATGACTGTCCTTTTTCATCTACAGAGGGTTCACTGAGGCAAACTGACAGAAATCACCTAATCACCTAGGGGAATCTCTATATGTTATTATAGAGATATATGCTTATGTTATTCATTTATAAAGACATCATATGCATAACTTGTACTTCCAATTTCACTTGAGTACTATGTAAGAAATTGTACCAAATTAAAGCGGTAAGAATGTGGTTGGGGTTTCTCTTTTGAATGTGGCAAGATTATTGTGAGGCATATGATTACGATAAAACAGAGACAATGGGACTGCTGGTGAATGGAAAATGGAAGTCCGGCTATGATGACTCTACTGAGTCGTGCTCTCTTGTTTACCATTTCAATTGAATGATATAAACCATGAGCAGGCTTCAAGAGGGTAAAGAAGAAAGAAAGAACCTCCTCACCAATGTCGATGCACCTCTGTTTGGCTGTGTGCTGTCTGGAGTGCCAGTACTTCCAGTGCTTCAACTGGTCATCCCTGCATTTCTCCTCACCAAATACTACCATCACAACACTCTAAAAAACATGGTGCATAGTGAAGGTCAGCTATAGGCAGTACAATGGTTCATGTTACCACAGAAATACAGTACTGTGCAAAAGTCAGAGACCACCCTTCATTTATTGAATTTCCAGCCAAATTTTTCTAGAGATATTTCTGAGAGTAACTTACAAAAAGGAGTAGGGATGCTAAATGAGTGAAGACCAGGAGGTTCCAAAACTGAAGTTCAAAAATGTAGTAAAAGATTTAGAAAATAACCATGTAGAAGACTAACAACCATACAGGACCTGGTAGACCACCAAAGTTGTCCCCTTCAGCTAAACACTACTTAAAGCTTTAATCTTTGAAAGACAGGAGAAAATCAAAATCTGACTTTGCACAGTACTGTACATACATACTCCACTCACCCTGACTTTACAGATGGGGTGATGCAGGACCTTGCTATTGTCAGTCTCCTTTAAAGTGATGGGGTAGAACTGTCCCTTGTTGAGGTACGTCATGGTGCCGTCACCTGACTTCTGCCGGAGAGACTTTGAGGCTTCCAGTGTGTATTCAAAGTTATTACTGTGAAACAAACAAAAACACATCTGTCTTATGACATTCAGTTAGCGAGCCCCATTGACACCAGAGTGCTCATAATTAAATACACTCACTGAACAATTTCCACTATGTTTGCTGAGATATGAAAATGGCCTTTTCATATTTGCTGGAGGTTTACATTCATTTGCTTGTAGGCTTCAATCATAACACTCTAACGGCCCTGTCTGATTTGCATAGGCCCTGACCGAGTCTGCTGACATAATCTGTTCACTCCCAGGGGGGCTGCCCTCAAGAGAGGTGTCTCTCTGGTGTCTAATGCGTGGTGGCTTACCCCGACACGGTGTCGAAAGTGGTGTACTCTTCCTGCGCCATCCGTAACTGGAGATCCCCTGGGAATGAGAACACCTGCAAAGCACAAAAGAGCGGGCGAGAGGACCCGGCATGAGTGCAAACAGCCACGCCGCGGCCCTGCTCCCAGCCATCTAGAGACGAGAGCCGCAGGACAAACAAAAAAAAATGGCTCTCCCCCACTCCCTGTGTGTGCAGGGTTTTGTTGGGGCTTTCTAAAGTAATCCCCTCCCCAATCTAGGTTTAATACAGAAAAGGGGAGAGAGAGCCAGAGAGAGAGAGCAAGAGAGAGAGAAGGCCCAGGCTATTGTTGAGAGAAAAATACAGCACTTTATTGTGCCAGCGAGACAATGGCATAATGACATGCTAGCCGCTATTCTGGCTATGTTCAAATAACATTACAAGCAGCGCACCGCCCCGCTCTGGAGTCTCCTGTAAATGCGATATCATATGAGGGTGGGAGACAGGGGGACTCTGAGTGTGAGAAAAGAAGAGAAGAGAAGGATGGAGCTGCTGGGACACAATGGGCAGCTAAAGGAATGATGGGATCGGCTCCATGACCTACCTCCTGAGTGCCATCCTTGAAGGTTTCTGGAAAGGTAGAATCGGGTGTGCGAGGCTGAGTGTTGGGGCTAAACTGATTGTGAGTGAGCTGCCGGTCAAAAACCACTGCATGATTATCCGGCTCTGAACAATGGTGGTTAGGGACAGTGATGGAGAAACCATGTGATGGCCCTTCTGTCTTGACCGGGTAGTTGGGCACCGCAGCGATGGACACTGTGACAGTGGTGTCAGGTGAGGGGAAGAGGGCCTTCTTGTCCTGGGCTGCAAGTTGGTTCCCTGGAAGGACGAGGTTCCCTGGAAGAACGACCCCCTTCAGCACCTGGATCCTGTTGTCGGCCGACGTCATGGAGGTCTCAGGGAGCTGAGCCATGAGGTTCCTGCTGAAAATGAACACAGACGTCAGACAACAGGAACAACTGTACCAGCCATAACCACTGCTTTGAAGAACACGTCACCTTTTGTTAGGATCCACATCAGAGCCCAGGATGTCAGCCTTTGGCTGGGATATTGTCCTCTTTTCCCGTGGCACCTGGGGAAGGCAAACACAGCCTCTGTCAAGCCTGTTATATAATCTGGTGGGCATACAGTGCTCTCTGTGCCCTAGTTACTAAATCGGAAAGTTGAAGTTATACTCTTACAGTGGCAGATCAGGCTAAATTTCATGCTTTCATTGTTAAATGCTAACCAAAAAATGAATATATATGGTCAGTTTTTTAAAATTAATTTTGTGCTTCTGAACCTTGTCTTGCCACTATGTCCGTGCATGGAAAATGGAATGGATCCACACATGAAGAGATCATGCAGGAGGTTGGAGGTTGTCCGTTGCATTTGAAAATACTGAGTAAAATACCTGGTCTTCTCTTTTCATAGCACATAACACAAATTCCATTGCTTGTACCACTGCATAAAACATCTGAATTTATGTTGTCACTTGTTTTACACCTTAACCCATTAGATTCCCAGGCCTACATACTAAGGCTTATTATTCAATAACGACAAAGATTTCAGTGCAAACTGGTGGAGCTATTCTTAGCTTATAGAAGTGTCCAATAAAACTTTGCGCCTGCTGATGCACCCTGGCAATTTAAGGGGTTAACAAAGGAGACATGGCATACTGAATCAGGCATAGCAATTAGCACTTAGTTAATGAGCACAGATTCAGTTCTCAGTTGCTGCCTGACCAGACACACCCAAGATTTTGCCCCTGGACATTATCAAGATCATTCACACCCAAAGATGTTGAGAGTTTCGAGGCTGTCCTGGGATCAGTATTTGCAATTTCCACCTTGACATATGGATACAGAGAAGCTGATCAGCAGTCTTCAAGATTCTTGATACATATGGGTCCAGGTCTCATACCTTGTAGTAGTCGTAAAGCAGGCCCAGAGCGGCTGCACTGTCTTCATCTCCATTGATGCTCATCATGGCCTTGGTGGCAGCAGTGAGAGGATTCTCCAGGAAGGACTTCCAGGCTTCATCCTCACTGGTGAAGGCACGGCGCTGGCTGTAAGCTGGATCATTCTGTAGCACCAGCACCGCCCGCTTACTGTTAAGAACAGAGAGGAGGATGAGAGAGAAGCAGCAGTAAACATTTGTAAAGGTATGTACCAACAGAGACAAGGGCTCAGGAGGAACCAATCAGAAGTCCCAGGTGAATATGGACGCCGAAGGAACAAAAGCCTTATTCAAGTGAAGGAGTCATACTGGCTTGTTGGTGTCACACTGGCTTATGGTAAACTAAAAAATGACAAACGAACATTGTTGTTGTGCAAAAGCAGTCAAAGGTCCTCTTTATCACTCTGATCTACCGCTAAACCTGTCCAAATGTGGAGCAAATCTCGGCAGCTTCCTGTCTGACAAGATGCTTTACTGGCTCTTCCAGTAAGACGGAAAAAGATCACGGTTTCTCACTGGTTAGCTGTCAGGAATCTTGATGGAGTGATCTGCCTTGACATTCCACAAACCACTGCTTTGCGTCAAAGCCCTTTTGTTTATTTTTTAAGAAGTTATTATTATTCATTTACACTGTCATTCTCCTCTTTCTCATCATCATCGTCACATTCTTCATCTACAGCTAGCTAATAAAATTTGACGTTGGGCATTTTTTCAGTCAATTAGCGTATTTCACTAGCATTTGAATGGACTGTACTGAGACTGTGTGCAGCTTATGAAGAGGTGAAGGGTGAAGGGAGGAGGTTACACAAATAACGCCTTCAGACTGAGATACACCTTCTCCAGTTTGATGCCTTTTCTTTTCTGATGAGCATAGAAAGAGAAAACAATTCACAACAAAGGGGACTGAGGATTTTCTTTTTATGACACAAATTAATGCATTTGTCTAAGATCTTGTAAATTGGTTTCCATTAAAATGATCAAGTAAGAGCTCAGTCATCTCTAAAACACAGTGTGACTTGTTGCTATGGTTCATTTTAATTGGATGTGTCGTGCTGACTGACAGGTCCCCATTCACGTCAATATTATAATCGTGATATCCAACGCTGAGTTGCTATGACGAAAAAACGGCGCGTCCATATAGGTTAAAGCGAACGGATTAGCGCGAGTAATCTGATAACTAATTGTGCCATTCTTTAACTTTCTGTTTGATTTTAACCCTGCAACCCGATAGATCCGTTATCCTGCGACAATGAGCTCTGAACGGACACGCAATCCCGCTACTAAAACAAAAGGGGCGACCAAGCGCGAAATGTGTAATGATGAGGTTTAAACGGCATCCTGACCAAATCCAGGAGGAAAAAAGTTTCTGCTGGGATTCCAAGTTACAGGATCTCACGGTCGCCTGAAACTTTGTGAAGAGAGAGAGCGAGAGAGAGAGAGAGAGAGAGAGAGAGCTGGTGCTCGAAGATCAGCGATTTGTGTGACAAGTGTAGTTATTTGCCTGTGTGTTGTCGTGGCCTGGTGGGCTACAAGTCATCCACCGTCTCTGTGACGATATGACATCGAACTGTGTTTATATGTGCGAGTTTTAAACAATGTACAAAAGCGCTTAAACACACTTTGTCCCCGACAAGAAACAGGCAACGCCTAACAGGTGTACAATTTCACTGGAGTCAACAGCCTCCCAGTCTGTGCCCTGGAATTCAAAAGCATAAATATACACGTTTAAAAAGTCTTAATGTTCATCCCGTCAGTCTCCAAATGTAAAGTTATTAAGTGCTGTGAGCTGACAGGCTCCGCGGGGCTGAATGACATCAGTCCCTCCACAAGCCAACGACACTGGCGAGGCGACTCCGTGACACAACACAAGACAAGCGGACTGACTCAAAACCAGACTCGTTCAGGCTGAACCTCCAGCTTAATTCTCCATTAAAACAACCAGAGCAGCTCTAGTGAGGCTGCACTGAGGCGCGCACTAAGGGCGCGTGGCCGAGCTGGTTCGCGCAGCAGGTGCAGCTCCACCTGTGAGGGGAACAGGTGAAGAAAAACCGAGCAGCTTCTCAGCCCCTCAGTCAGTCTGACGTTTGCTAAACAGCCACTACGCGCTTTCAGAGACGAAACTTCTCCTTAGAAAACAGCTCTGCTGATTGAGCCTCCGAGCTAAACCGACATTTTGTACAAAATACGTTCAAAACGCGCTCGCGCCAGTCAGCGGACGCGCTCTGTCTGTACAGTGGACCTCGGCTAGTGAGTGTAGACACTTACTTGTCATGCTCCTGTGACATCTCGCTCGGTCGGACTGGACTTTCTAGTTGGTACTGTAAATCCGACCCGTCTTCTTCTCAAGAGAAGCGAGGGAATGAGGGCTACCTTGGAGCTGCGTGTGTGCGAGAACGGGTTTTGTTGGCTTTTCTTGCTTTTTGGGATATACTCAAAATTTGGGGCCGGTTTTACCTGTGACTGGCCGTGGGATTGGGTTACACCTGAGGGGCGGAGCCTAATAATGCAACGAGCCTGGAGGGAACCTCTGATTGGTTAACAAGGTTCGATGAGCGCCCTAAACGCTAAGGCTGAGAGCCAATGAGGGGGCAGGACTAAATTATAGCGGGACTTCGTGGAGCTGAACTGTCTGTGATTCTCTGAGCATTTGACAGGCTGCAAAAATTATAGTTACTTTACCTAGTTATGCATACTCAAAAGGGGAAGTTCACCAGTGTTCAAAATTTCTGTCTGTGTAAATAAAGTCATTCAGAGTGGTTTGATGTGAAATATTCCATTCTAGAGAAACTTATCAACACAGAATGTCCCTAAATACTACCTTACAGAACATTACACAAAATAGTAATATGCTGTCTGATGCCTGATACATTGCTTTACAATTTAAGATAAAGTTTTGGAATAAAATGTATTTATTAAAATACTTTCATAACAGGCACTTGCAGTGTGGCAAAAAGTATCCAATGAATGATTATATTCTTGGATTTGCACCTATTTTCCCATGAACACTACATACAGTCATCTTAAAGAAAAAAATGGTCATATTTATAGATGTTTGCAACTCCTGGATCCAACCACTACCACTTCTGAGTAAGCTGGTATTCTGAGAAACTTTCTAGTTTCTCTACAATTTACCATTTAACATCAAACCACTCGTAATGACTTTGTTTCCATCTCAATGATTGAATAATGCAGAAATACTGATCTTTGAAATTCAACTTTCAGTAAAGCCCATTTCCAAATGATCAGTATTTCTTTAGTACTTCACTTGTACTCCAACTTCTATTCCTACTCAGATAATCAGGGGACTAGTGACCATTAAAGTAGTACAATCTGTTCACACAACTACAAAATCTATACAAACACAATACATGCATATTGTCGCTGTCCAAAGAAAAACATTTACATTTTTGTTGATTCTTTCTACGTCATTTGAACATGGCAGTTCTTCTTTACATTGTGTGAAAATTTTATGATAAATGGACCAATAGAAAGCCCCAAAATCATTTAGAATGTCTTTACATTAACTTACATTAAAAGTTAAGGGTGTTTTTGCCCTCTCCTGTAAAGTTACCATTTTGGAGATACTTGTTTTTCTTTGGACAGTGACGATATGTGTATACACACTTGTAGGCAGCAGGATCTCAGCCTTCATTGTGTAGACCTTTCAGCCTGTGTGATATATACTGTAATTCTATACCTTAAATTTAGTTTATCTTAGTTTGAGGCAGAGATGTGTATAACAGTAACATGTATAAATGCGCTAACTCCCATACTGTTTGACAAAAACACTTTATTATGGTATCAATTACTAAATTATAAATAATCACTTGTGCAATATTGCATGGGATATACAGTGAAAAAACATTTCCTGCCTGGAGCCAATGAATGAGTTTCACATTTCCGCCTTTCGACCATTGCATATGAAAGGGGGAGTCACTTTCTGCTGAAACCACAATTTAAAGAGGGGCTATTATGTGTTGGCAAAGGGAGGGGATCAAGTCCTTAATGATGCACAGTTTCCCTGAACTGCTACCAAATGTCATTCCAGTAGGTTTATTGTGTCAAACCCAAATAATCCACCTATAAAGTTAAAGATGATCAGTCTATTAGCCTTGAGTAAAAAGTATTTTTTGGGCCTCAATCTGAGTCATCGCCATGAAAGTGTGAAAAGTTCATAAATATGCCAAATCTTGCTGTGTGGCAGTTCTGAGTATCTGCTTAGAGGCGTAAATGAGAAATTCACAAATTAATGAAATCTAGTTGAAGAGTTTCTTTCCAAAATGCTATATAGTAATTTGTAACAATTTTTGATTAATAAATAATAGAAGTGGTATTTATTATTACATAGCACCAATATTGTATGTATAAAGCCCACTCTCAACAATGTATATTATGAAAAAAAAGAGTCTATAATGTATTTTGGAAGCAAACCCTTCAGTTATTAGTAAATTAGTCTTTTTGGCAACACTTTTGTCCAGTTAAGTCAAGTAAAGTGGTCTTTACTGTCATTCCTCAACATAACTTATATACATTATAATAAAATGTCATTCTTCAGACCACATGGTGCAACACACAGCAACAGTACATTACACAGAACTACACAGCATGCAGATACATGACAGTAGCCACGTTTACATGCAGCCTGATAATCCGTTAATAATCCGACTAATAGCTCAATCGGAATAGAACACGTCCATGTAAACACCTCAATCGGAATAGACTAGTCCGATTGAGGCCATTCGGAATACAATTTCTATCCGATTGAACGAGGTGGGTAAACTTCTAAATAATCCGTTAAATAGAAGAATAATAGCCATGTAAACGCCTGAATCCGATTACATTCCAATCGGAACGTGTAAGTATGTTCTGCGCATGTGCGTCGCGTCATGGCGAAAGTTTATACCGTTCAGCATGGCGGAGCAGAAACGGGTCTGCAGGGGAGACGAAGTTTATGCTCTGAGCTTTAAAAGACGGCGGTGGGACGGACGATCAGCTTCTGAGTCTCAGAACACGACGTCTTCCTCTCGCCGCTTCCTTTATAAGCACATGTGAAGCACGTCTGACATCATTTTAAAGCAATTAAAACACAAGCGCGCCAACTGGAAACTCATATCACGCGGACTGGACCTCACGTGATGTTCGTTGTCATGGTAACGTTTACTCTAAACGCTACTCCACGTATGCGCGTCATTTTGCATCGGATTACTTGTAGTGAGCGTGTAAACGAAGATTTTCCATCAAATCGTTGAATAGAGTGTGCATATAAACACCTCAGTCTGAATCTGTAATCGGATTGTATTCAATCGGATTGGCAAAAATCTTTGCATGTAAACACAGCCAGTGTGAAACGACTACAGAATATACAATAAGTACACCAGACAATCAAAACTAGACAGGACAAACAAAACAGTATGTGCGATTGGGCGTCATATATATGTATATACACACATACATTACATATGAATTGTCATCACGCAGCATGTTAATGATGAAGGAACTGGTGCAAACCTTGTCACTGTAAACTGTACAGAAAGGTTGAGGTCTCATAGCAGATTCATAGAGTTTAAGAATTTAAAGTGCAGCTGTACAGTGATGGTAAAGGGGTGTGTGAACAGTCTATGGAGGATGCTTTAAGGGGTCTAGATTAATCCAGGTATATGTTGTGGGGCATCAGTTCGTTCAATATTCTTACCACCTTTGGGACGAAACTTGCTGTTGAGACTGTTGAGTCTGGAGGTTTTAACATTATAAGGCTATCCCCTGTGGATGCTTTGTAAATGCTTACTTTACTTTGCGTTTAACTAAATATCCATTAAATTCTGCTTACTTTTTCCTAACACAAAACCTAACATTCACTCTCACCCTTAACCTCAACCCAAAACCCATTCCTAGTCCTAAACCTTCACCACAGTTTCACCAGAGAGTTGGGTAATGCTTTGAACATTTGTAGAGCATCTGTAGGGCACTATTCAAATAAACTGGGACCATAAATAAATATTCAAATAAACTGGGACCATAAATAAAATAGGACTTTTTTTGGTAACATTTTTATTTACTGATAGCTTTGGTGCTACTAGCTCATTATAATCTGAAAACTAACCTCCTAGAGAAGTGTGATGAACAGCATTAACTGATCTCAAAATCTTTTATTATGCATTATGTGCGATCAACAAAGTATAAATGAAAATGAGCAAACTGAAAGGACCAATTAAAAACGCAAATATTTTGTACAAACTGTATTCAAGTAAAAATGAATTGAACACATCAAATGACATTAAAAACCAGCTGTACTGAAAATGCAAGCATATATAATCTGCTACTTTCCACAGCACCTGCATGCAGCTTGAAGATTATTTGAGTCATGATAAGCAGCATATCTAGACTGCATTAGTGCACTTTCACTATTTTCTATGACAGGTAGCTACATTTAAAAGAAGTGTCATCACTCTCACTGAATGACACAGTAAAAGTACACAATTTATTGGGTATTTTTACTGTGTCATTCAGTAAATTAAAAAAAGAGAGATAGTGAGAAATGCAAAATACCTTTTCTTAGACATGTTGTCTTGAAAGCAATTCCTGCTCCTCAATATAGACAGGTAGAAAAAACAAAGCGTAAATATTAAAAGGGGTCTGTCAACATTGGTTTTACAACAACCACCTAATGTTTTTATTTCAATTGACTAGATTAAAGCAGAAGCAACAAGAACAAACAAAAGAAGACTAAACCACCAACAATGTTTATGTCATAAACATTTGCAAGCAAATCTACTAAAGAGCAGACAGAGTGGGATGCAATCCTTAGGGATCTTCAGGGATTCATTTGCATATGTTTTGAATTGGAAAAAACTTCTAGTTAAAAGCAGGAAGATGTAACTGTTTGACAGTTACCAACATGCAAGACATTCAAGCCTGCGCAACATGTAAAAAAATAAGCAGGAAAAAGTTGAGGACATTGTTAACCGAATTTACATCAGCTAAATATTTTTAGTTTTATTTCATTTTTATTTATGTACTGCATGTGGGGCATTTTTATGTATTGTGTAGGTTAGATTTTATTTAGCATGTGACACTTTTTTATTTGTGTATTTAGTTGCATATAGTATGTTTTTACTTGTGTAATTACTATATTGTACATTTTTATTTATGTATTTGCAATGTTGTACGCTTCGAACTATGTATTTGCTATGTTGTGTTCTTATTTACATTTCATTTATTTGTTTGTGGTGTGTGTTTATTTATGTATTTAGGTGTATGCGGTACATTTTTTGTGACCACAGCACTCCTCGTGCCTCATTGATGACCACTCTTCAGATGTTAAGAACACAGGGAGTTCTTTATTTGGAGAACTTCACAACATCCAGATTATCAGAGATT